GTGCAGAACCTATGGGATTTCTTCTAATTGGTTCATTTACCCAAGACCCAACCCCAAGTTTCCCATTTTACGGCCATTTAGACCCACTAAATATATATATAATGTTATGGTAAATATCATAAACACACATAGGCATGGCTAGGTTTATTACAAAGTGATGAAAAGGGTACGCTTAATACTGTAGTCCACAAAACATGGAGTTATGCTTTTTTTATTTGGTCCCCCATCATACGAGTCCGTTTTCTCTCACATCAGGACGCCTGAGTCCTCCGTTTTCTCTCTTAATCTTAGAGTGCACCAGAAACTTTACTATTTTTAGTAATGCCACAGAATTTGAAATTGCAACCCCAATTGCAACTGGGGTTGCAATTGTTGAGGCAACTAGATATGACTGATTACAGCAAATGTGTTATTGTCAATTTGTAGGTGAAAGATTTTATCCTCAATAGATGTAGGTTAACATTTCACCTGTAGGCATATGCTTAAAAAAGCCTAAGTAAGGAAGCATATTCCTTTAACACATAATATCTGACCAGTATGGGGAGGATCATTATGTCTCCGTCAGGGGGTCGTGGAGTGGTGGTCAAGCAGGCGTCACTTTTTTTTTTGTTTGTTTGGGGACGGACGTATATGGGATCGGACGTTAACCGGCGATGACTGTATATGTGTGTGTGTGTGTGTATATATATATATATATATATATATATATATATATATATATATATATATATATATATATATATAATCAACACCTCAACCCGCCAGGATTCGAACCCACGGCACACAAGCCTATGACTGTGACCGGGGAACGCTAACCGCTGGACCACCAGGATACTAAAAGCAGTCCTAGACTTTGTTATATTTCACACAAAGCCTGTTCAACGAGCTTATGGCGCCGTGAACCTCTAATGGGGACCACCCGTATCACTTAGGTGGTCAGAGTAACGTTTTACCAAATCCGGCTTCGAAACACGAGGATCCATATATATTTCATTAGCCCAATAAAGCACGCGGACTTCTACATACAATCAACACCTCAACCCGCCAGGATTCGAACCCACGGCACACAAGCCTATGACTGTGACCGGGGAACGCTAACCGCTGGACCACCAGGATACTAAAAGCAGTCCTAGACTTTGTTATATTTCACACAAAGCCTGTTCAACGAGCTTATGGCGCCGTGAACCTCTAATGGGGACCACCCGTATCACTTAGGTGGTCAGAGTAACGTTTTACCAAATCCGGCTTCGAAATGAAATATATATGGATCCTCTCAACCGGATTTGGTAAAACGTTACTCTGACCACCTAAGTGATACGGGTGGTCCCCATTAGAGGTTCACGGCGCCATAAGCTCGTTGAACAGGCTTTGTGTGAAATATAACAAAGTCTAGGACTGCTTTTAGTATCCTGGTGGTCCAGCGGTTAGCGTTCCCCGGTCACAGTCATAGGCTTGTGTGCCGTGGGTTCGAATCATGGCGGGTTGAGGTGTTGATTGTATGTAGAAGTCGCGTGCTTTATTGGGCTAATGATATATATATATATATATATATATATATATATATATATATATATATATATATATATATATATATATATATATATATATATATATATATATATATATATATATATATATATATATATATATATATATAAAACAATACAGGCGGCTGCATTTATAAGGTTCCTTGCAAGGAATGTACTATGTTTTACTTAGGCCAGACAGGTAAAGATCTTGTAACTCGACTTAAACAACATAAACCGGGATGCCCGATTTACGCGGTGAATTTACTCATTTATGCGGGTGAAGTATAATTTGTTTATTTACTGAAGATATATATGTTTTTAGCTCATATAATATATAATTTACATTGCTGGAATCCTTACAAAAGGGTGATCATTTTAAATATAAACATCTTAACATTTGCATTAGACATACAAATTTTAGATGTAATTTAAGGAGAACATGAAAATAAGCAAATATTTTATCTTTTGTGCAAAATATATGAAGTTTACATTCAAAATATTCCCTGACCTGCAAGGAATCCAGAAATGTCAATTATGTTATCCTAACTTTAGTCTGAGGTATTATTTATAACTAAAAATATAAATATACTGTTTTCTCCCAAAAATTTCTCTGGTAGGGAGGGACCCAGCGAGCATGCGAAGATGGGGGGAGCGGAGGTAGAGTATTTTGATTGACAGATAGTGTCTGGGTGAATAATAATTTGTTTATTTACTGAAGATATTTGTTTTAGCTCATAAAATTCATACAAATTACCTGGCCAGAATATGATTTACATTGCTGGAATTCTTATAAGATTTTGATTATTTTAAATATAAACATCATGGAATTTGCATTAGACATCCAAATTTTTTATCTAATTTAAGAATTTTGCTTACAAAGCCAAAATTATATCTTTTGTGCAAAATATATGACATTTATATTCAAAATATTCCTTGCCTTGCAAGGAATCCAGAAATGTCAATTATGTTATCCTAACTTTAGTCTGAGGTATTATTTATTACTATACCTTAAAATCTAGTGTTTTCACCCAAACATTTCTCAGAGAGGGAGGAGCCAGCGAGCGTGGGAAGAGGGGGGGAGGGGGGGAAGGGAGTTGAGTCCATCACTTGAATGGACATTAACCTGGCGACTGTCATTCTCTTAAATATTGTGTGTGCATACCATCATAAAATTAAGATGTTATTTTTACTACAACGTAGGTATTATGTCGGAAAAAGTGGAGTTTGGGAGTCGGCCCAGTCTCTATTTCAATTAATCCCATATGTTCTGTTATTCCATTTACACGTTTCTCGTTTTACGCGCTACTCCGCGGGTTCAATTGACCGCGTAAATCGGGGTATTACTGTATATATATTATGACCAACACATCATTACTGAGGCCTCTACAGCAGCTCATTATGAGGTGGGAAAAGTACACTTTATATAAATAAGTAACACTGCTAATTATTTTGTTCCCATAATGTTGATATCACGCTTAAGACAGATAAATTATATATTCTTCCCAGTCATAAGATTGTTACAGGAAAACTTAATATTCAGTATGTACGCTTAATTCATTCACAGGGTTGTGTGTCAGGTGTTCATTCATGTGTGTCTGTGTTGACGATGCAGTGGTAAAAGAGGTACGGTATGGGACATGTGAGGCCTAGTGAGGCAGGCAGTAGAGAATGTATCGCCACGACTGCAATCCAATTGACTTCCCTAACAACACACCTCATTTACTTGCTTCTCATTTAATTTATTTTTGATTAACACATTATACATTTGTATAAAGTAACTGTCCATACCTTTATAATATTTAGAAGGCTTAAATAATTGTTTTTCTAATTTACTTATTTTTGGTTCCTAATTTATGTTACATATAATATTAAAGATAGGGTCTCAAAGACTGTTATTCGCAAAATTCTACAGTCGCGGGTGTCCCAGATTTGATATAGGCCAAACGAGAGGAAATAGGTACGAGAGATGACACTTCATATGTAAATGTGCTAGAGGTGGGGGGGAGAGGATGGACTGGGTGTCGCCTCATTCGCCAGTTCGCTTTTTCTTTACAGGTACACCACCGATTTTCCGGGAGCTGATGGTCCATGCCGGACCATCAGCTCCTGGACAAAATAATGAGTGGGCACTTAACTTCCCTCCCTCCCTCCCAGCCAGGGAAAAGGTAGTTTTAGGCTTAAAGTTTTTATCTTATAAAATGTCGCTGACTAGACTTAGCAGAATATAACTAGTATTTCTGGAATCTTTGCAAGATATTGATTAATTTTAGTATAAACATCACATAATTTGCACAAGATATAAATATTTTAGTCCTTTAGTGTTGTACATTTGAGTACAAGTTTTCCAACTCATATTTTAGGGCAGATATACATAACTTTCTTCATTTATTTTTACTCATTAACACACCATCCAAAATACATAGTGAAAAAAGTAAAAGAAATAATTGTCCTTTGGGCAAACTATGGGATGTTTGTACTCAAATTAATCACTATCTTGGAATAATTCCAGAAATGTAAGTTATATTCTGCCAAGCCAATTCAATGACATTTTATAAGAGAAAAACTTAAACTCCCTCTTTATGAGTGATAAATATGCACTTGGTAACCTTCACTGCTCGGCTATCAACACCTCCCCTCCCCCTTCCCCATCCTCCCAGCCAGGGTGAAGGTGGTTTTAGGCTTAAAGTTTTTATCTTATAAAATGTAGCTGACTAGACTTAACAGAATATAAATTTCATTTCTGGAATTTTTGTATGATAGTAATTAATTTGAGTATAAACATCACATAGTTTACACATGAGATAAAATTGTTAGTCTAGTGTAGTAAAGTACATTTCAGTACAAAGTGTGTACAGTAGAACATTGATTTAAAGTGATTAAATTTAAGATTATTTATTTAAAGCGACACCCACAATTAAGGACAATGTTTTAATTTAAAGCGAATCTTTCCCATTTTGCACGAGTCAATCTGGCGCATCATATTTAAAATTTTGCGCCTAATGTTTCTCTGGGCACATTACACTGTCCTATAGGGCAAAGCTGTACTGTACATGTACTCAAAATAATGTACTAAATGATTGATAAAATTTTTGTCTAGTACAAACTATAGCATGATTATATTCAAATTAATCACTATCTCATAAGAATGCCAGCAATGTAAATTATATTCTCCCCGGTCACTTCTGTGACATTTTATAAGCAAAACACATAAACTCAATCTAAAGGACACAAATAAACAAATAAATATTTCACTAGACCTTCGGTGCCAATTGTCAAACATGTCACTGTCACTTCCCTCCCCTCCCTCCCTTCTTCCCCCCCATCTTCCCAGCCAGGGTTTGATGTTTTAGGCTTAATGTTTTTATCTTATACAGTATAATGTCTCAGACTAAAGTTAGAATATAATTTTATTGCTGGAATTTTATAATTTTACATTCATTACATGCAAATGCAGTGACAACAAGCCCTTACCTAGTTGAATTGGCAGTTTCGAGGTTTACCAGCTGGGCATGTAAAGCCAGTCTGGCTTGTAGTCTGCGACGGATGGCCTGAATGGTGTGGGGCATTTGCTCAGCACTATCTTGCCACACCACCATCTCACCATCACCAAGAGAGCTTCCTGCTCCTGTTGACTGAAATATTACAAATAGATATATCTCTGCTAGCCAGAACAATAATTGGTGCAGAGCACTTCTGGGAATGAGAGATTTCCGGGTAACGAGACGACTATCTCAAAGCCAGAAAAACTCCTCATCCCCGGAATTTTCTGGGTAATGGAAAACGAAAGTTCCAGAAATTGCACATGACATCATCTCTCAAAGCCGGAAAAAATCCGTCATCCCCGGAATTTTCCGGGTACCGGAAAAATTTTCTCGGAATTTCCAGAAAATGCATCTGATTTTAATTTTTCAAACCCAGAAAAGACTCCCCCATCCCTGGAATTTTCCGGGTACTGAGAAAATTTTATCAGAATTTTCCAGAAAATGTGTCCCTCGGAAAATTTCAATTCCGGCTATCGGAGAGTTCTGGGTTTGCGGGATTCCGGCTAACAAAGGATTACTAATGAATGATGAGTAGCAACACGCTCAATAACCCAAATAAAGTTACTCCTTTAGAAGAGCTGGACATTTATACACATTTATGGGAATGAATGAATGCTGCTGGAGTTCATGTCATAAATTAAATTAATTAAAGTCATCAACACCATGAAGATAAACTATTAAGAACCCAGTGAGCACAATTGGTTCACACTTGTACAGGCATGAGTTGTGCAAGTACAAATCTATGAGGTAGCTTTATACTTTATCAGAAGAATGCCACCTTATTCAGCAGCATGCATTTGTCCCTGAAGTGTTTATGTAGTAAAGTTACACAATAAACTGTTTTTGATATATTGTACATAAAATAAGGTAGATATAAATAATTATCTTACTGTATCCTGCGAGTCTTCCCCACTAACATGTGTTTGTTTGGAACTTGAAAATGATAACCCTGAGAGAGACTGAGCCCACTTGTAAGGTCGACCAGTGGCACTAAGGTGATCAGAGAGGTTTATACGAAGGCGGTTCAGTTGAAAGAAGTTAGCTGGGTTTGGTGACGTTTGTCCATCATCATCAGGAACGAGGCAGTTCAAAAGTGTATCTCCACTGATCACATCTCTGAGAAAATAATTTTATGATATCCTGTTCACAGACACTTTAAAAATAAAATATCCTATTCTCAGAAACCTTTAAAAAAAATTTATTTTCAAATTTCATTTCCAATGTCAACAAACGTTATCCTGTGCTTCCTCACTAGCACCATTTCATCAGTAAATTTTGCACACACACAAGCTATTGCACCAAGGTATACATAAGACACTGTACTGTTTCATCAATTCCTATCTGTAAGATTAAATGGCACCCTTCAAAATATCTCCTAACATCTTAAGCACATTGGTTATAACATTATAAAAACATAATAATTAACTTAATCATATAAGAACAAAATTACTTAAATTTTGTCTACACACTAAAGATAAAAAAAAAATACAAGAATTCTTACGTCAGAGCACACTTGGTTTTCTCCTGAAGATGCACTGAACATTTAGCAGTCACAATGCGTAAGGTCTGCATATAGTAAAACGTAATAACAACACTGTTACCTTCTGAAAAATAAAAGAGTTGAAAACTTAACAATCACCATGAGCAACAAGAGTTTTGTTTTTAAATCACATAATAATGTAGGACCTTCTTTAACTGTCTTTTCTGTGTGGAGTGAGTTGTGATACACATTGCGTGGAAGAGCGCAAAGGGAAGTTAATTCCCGTCCCCAGTCTTGGGGATCTCTCTTAAGAAACTTTTACCTTTTTGCTTCAAACTAGTTACATTCAGTGCCTTTTAAGATATTTTCTTTTGGTTTTCAAATGACAAAATCTATAAGTTGTCCTTTTCATTGCATATACATCCCATCATAATATTCTACACTAAACAAAATACAGTAATACAAAGGCATAGATAAAGTTTGGAAGAGTAGCCAGGTCAAGCCAGTAAAGGCAGTGGACCATTTGACTGGGTCCATGTACATTTCTCCGTCTTTTTTGCAGATTTTTTATTTGCGGTTTCAACTATTCGCGGATTTTCATCAGAAATATGTTTTGATTGCAACAGGTATTACTGTACTAATTTTGTATGCGGTTGCATTGCGCATGCAAAAGAGTTTCTGCAAGAAACCGGCAGGCATCATTACCACAGAGAGCAGCTTCCTGCTTCTCCTGTCTCACTCGCGTCACCTGTCATACTGTGTATACATCTTGCTGTGACTCGTGTTTTGTGCTCGAAATTCACATCAAGGCTCCAAAATGTCCTTCTAAAGATGGTGATAAAGGCGATAATGCACCAAAGAAGCCAAAGAGAGAAAGTCGAAATAATAAAGAAAGTTGAGAGTGGCATGAGTTATGCAGCATGCGCTAGGGCATACGGGATGAACGAATAAACAGCTCACTACATAAAAAAATGAGAGAAAAACATTGTTGATGCGGTTACTGCGAGTGCGCCAGCAGCAGCAAAGGTGACGCAACATGTGAGAGAACCACTGCCACATACCGCTTGTCTCCAAATTCTTCTGGAAGAAAGGTAAACATTTATATCCACACTTCAGCGGTGATACTTGTGGAGATGCTGGCGGTGAACGGTGATAGCATCGCTCAAGGTGGTGGGGGAAGTGGGAGACACAAGAAACATTCATTTAGTGCCAGGAAATGAATTAATTATAGGAAAAGAATGTATGAATTATATTAAGATACTGTACAAAACTATGTTTGGTGTGTACTCAGGAAGAGCAGGTGGCAGAGGTGGGAGGGAGGACAACTCAGCACCTCCCAATCGGCAGCTGCCATCCTTTTATAATGACAGTATGCAATTCACCATAATTTCCACATTATTAAGTTCATATGGTGCTGGGTTAATAAAATATTTAAAAAAAATAATTAACTTTCCCCCAAAAAATCCCACACTCAATCCCAGATGAGCTATTGCACAACAGTATACTCTCAGTCTCTTGTTTACAGAGCAGTAACAGCTGATCAGTACCACTGACCAGCTCTCCCTAGTAATGTTGCCAGCACTCACCATCTCTCAAACACCGTTGTTGTCACTGCTTACCACAGGTTGTGTCTTGAGCACTTAGTATACAAATATTGTGCCATATTTATCAGAACTTAATAAACTTTATTGTAGTGTATAATGCTGTGATGTAGCAGGGGGGAGGATCAAGAGGATGGAACAACATAACTGAGCTGGTGAGTACAGTATTCCATATGCGCTGTATTTTTATTTTATTTTTTTTGGTGCATAATATAAAAAATAATTTTTTTATTTGTATCTTTATTTTGTTGTCTTTACATGTTATTTAATGATATGTGAGAGTGAGGGGGATTTACAGATCATTAGAAGCAAGTTTAGGGCCATACCGGTGATCGGGGATACGTTATAATATTGAATATTACATGGAAAGTGAAAACCCCGAAAAGAGCATTTGCGGTTTTACTCTTTCGCGATAATATCAGGAACATAACCCCCACGAAAAACGAGAGACCACTGTACTAATAAAACCACTACCATTAGTATAGAAACAAAATTCTTAGTTTCACGAAGCAATTAGACAAAAGTTGGTATTGGCAAGAAACATGAAAAGACAAAAGTACAGTAATACATAGTGTACTATAAATACAGCTACTCCCAGACTTACAACCACCCGGACATACGACCGCCTCAGTCGTACCAAAATTTTGCCTAATTACGTATTTTCGAGTCACAACGTCAGTGATTGCGCTGTGTACTGACAAAATTTTCATTGTAATTCACTTTAAAATGGCTGGAAAGCATAAAAGTGAGTGTTTTGTGGTGCTGAGAAGAAAAAGATACACCCATTTTAGATTTTCTATGTATTATTTAAGCATTTTCGACTTATGACCTGGATTTGGGTCCCTGACCCCGTCGTAAGTTGGGGAGTAGCTGTACAGTATATTAAAAAAAAATATAATGAAAACAAGTGAAATTGAATGTGGATAATCATTGTTCATTGAAAACTGAAAAACTTTATTAACCACTTGAGTATGGGGTCCCCACTATGCAGAATAAAATCATCTGGTGTTAAGCAAATAAAATATTAAACGTGGCATCCCGTTGTGAAGGGGTTAAGACACATTAAGGGACACTTTACTAATTCAGATATAAAATCTGTCAACAAATGTACAAATGGTGTCTATTGATGTAAAATTAGTTAAGTTAGTAAGAAGAGTGACTGCAAGTTAAAGACTTAAAATCACTAAAATATTTGTAATGAAAAACTTCAATTTTCCCTTACCCTTTGTGTTTACATTAATCTTTACAAAGAGTGGATGTAAGCCTAGCATCTGCTTCACTCCATCATCCAAGTCCTCTGCATCCAATTTCTGGGACTTACGATTGCGCTTCTTACGGGAAAGATTCTCCTGAAAACAAAGGTTAAAGTATCATGTGGAAAACTAAAAAGCAAAAAATAAACTTCCGTGAGAAACTACAAAATCTACAAGGTACTGTAAGCTAGACATTACTAAGATTAAAAAATACAGTAAAGGGTATAAGAGTATTAGGACTATATGATCTATGACAATACTGTACAAGGATCTTCAAAAAAATAATTAACATGGTAAGCTGAAGGAAGCCCTCTGGATATAGATAGAGGATGTAAAATCAGACAAATTCTGTAATGTCAACAGAGATGGTGAAAACGGTAAAAGAAACTCAAACTGAGATGTTACTTTACAAAGTGGGGTTCAAGAATGGATTGCTGAGATGCAGCAATATATTATACACTCCAAACACACAGTTGACAGAACACTGCTAAAGCCTGATAACTGTACTTGTCCCTCACCTCTTGTTGATCTTGATCATTATCTGACTCTGACAGGTTTTCAGTTCGAGTATCTTCTTCTTTTACAATGAGTTTCTTGGCTGCATCGACATCTCCAAAGACTTCAACTTTAATGAAGGGGTCAAAAGCTTCACCATATGCAGATGCCTGATAAAATATTGGTACATATTAGGAACCAAATACATAAAGTAACATCAACACCTGCCAGTGGTGCAATTATTCCTGGAGTGTGGGGCTTATAACCCCACCCTATGTATAATAATTACCAATCATAAACAAATGTAAAGAAAAATGAAATGTGTGGATATTATAAAGATGATGGGATACAAGCAAGAAGACTAGTGTAATGGTGATTGAAAGGATTCTGGATGTTCTGTTCTGAGAAAAATTAATAAATTGAAGGGCAAATGAGAGGTCTACTGGGGGCAGGTGCAGAGCATGAGATCAGGAGTGTCACAGTGAAAGGTGTGATGGTACTCCTGTTGAGAGATGGAAAGTGGGTATACCCTGTACTGTATGTGAATGTGTACTGTTTGTGGAGTCAGTCAGAGTCTGAAGGATGCATTGTTATAAGTACACATGCACCAAGGAATGAAAAAAAAGAGGAAGAAATGGAGAGATTTTGAAATTACATGAATAATGTACTGAGTGATTAAAAAACAGAGACAGTGACAGAAGATATCAATACAAAAATGGTTGAAAATAAAGGTGATTAATTTAAATTAGTACTACAGTATAGTCTGCATTTACGCGGCTTTTGCTTACACGTTTGGTCATTTACGCGGTGCCTTGCCAGAATGAAAATGCTTTAATTACGCAGCGAGAGGCTGGAGAGGTCCAGACCGCCGCGCCATTTTTTACTCACACGGTCCATTCTTGACCATACGCGGAAAGCGGCGCGGTGAGTGGTGCGCAATAGGCCGCTCTTACGTTATCGCTGACGTCATATGACGTATCAGACTGTGATCCTTACCACCCACGCATTCCCTGACGTGCCCTGCCACCAGAGGGTAGAAGTCGTTGACCTAGCAGGGCCTGTCTCATTGTTCTCAGTCGGCGTATACAGTTCTCTCTTGTGCCCGCTATTCCCCTCACAACTCACAATGGCTTCCGCAGGACCCCCACCACCAGAGAAAAACATTGAATTACCTGGACCAAGCCATGATAATGTGAAGGAAATCATCGAGTTGGGGAGAAACTTAAGCTCATCCTTGACAACGACCCAGACAAGCATCGGTATGAAGAGTCTAATAACCATCTGACGAAAGTTATGGAGCCGTATATCCAGATCTATCTCGACAACATCAATGCTAGTCGTCAACGTAGTATTGAGGACTTCCTTGCCCGCAACCCACCACAACCACAGCCAGCCCAAGTCAGTGATAGTGATATTGACAGTGAGGATATGGACTTTGAGAGGTTTGTCTGGGAGGCCCTGGAAACCTCTGCGAGTAGTGAAAGTGATTTACCGGAGGGCAACTAATCTGCCCTCTGCCTCGGAACCAGCCGCCATCCACATGTGCCGACCCAGCTTTTTTACTAAGGTAAGTGTTAAAAAACCTAATATTATTGATATTTCTCTTAATTATTAATTGTGTGTGCATACCATCATAAAATTAAGATGTTGTTTTTACTACAACGTACGTATTGTGTCAGAAAAAGTTAAGTTTGGGGGTCGGCCCAGTCTCTATTTCAATTAATCCCATATGATCTGTTATTTCATTTACGCGTTTCTCGTTTTACGCGGTACTCCACGGGTTCAATTGACCGAGTAAATGCAGACTATACTGTATTTTTATTCCAACAATTTCAATCCGGCTAAGGCACTAAAATAACCTACCAGTGCATTACACTAACCTGAACCCAGAGTGTGTAGAGAGGACTTGGTAAAAGCTGCACTATCCTCTGCTGTTCTCTCTTAGCATCTATGGGTAAGTCCAAGGCATCTTGTAATGGACGAGTTGCCTGAAAGCATATGAAATGTAGTATACAATAATTTAAGAGTTATCTATACAGGAACATACCAATAAGTATTTAGGAAAACAAAGAAGCCTTCCAGCAGTGCATATGAATCACGTTACACTGCAAACACATTAAGATTTGTAAGTATCAGACTACGACAAGGTCCAACTGAACAAGTAACTGATGAACAAGAATTTGGCTTAATGAGAGTAGTGTTTTAGGAAATTAAGATTCAATGAACAAGCTTCTATCCATTTATTGAGCAAAATTCTGTGTACCTATAACAGTTCACTTTATCATTTGTGGAGTCAAGTTAGTTATCCTTTTAGTAAGAATAAGGTTTATGATTGGTTGTTTTCATATGACCCCTCACTCTAAGCCTCTTGAGGGAGTGTAAATTCAGATGCTTTAATCTGTCTCTATACTCAAGGTTCCTAATGTCCGTGATTAGTCTTGTCATCCTCCTCTGTATGCTTTCTAAGGAATCGATATCCATTCTGTAGTACGGTGACCAAAACTGAACCGCATAATCCATGTGATATCTCACAAGCGTTGGATATAGTTTTAGGATAATCTCGCTAGTCTTGATAACTCGGCACGTATAGGACTCAGGCCTTGCCAAATTATCCCAAATTCCAACTTATCGAGACACTTCCCCCCCTCCTATAAAAATACAATAAAAAATGATTGGTTCATATATGTATACAGCTGCTCCCCGACTTACAACAGGGTTAGGGACCCAAATCCAGGTCGTAAGTCGAAAATGCAAAAAATAATACATAGAAAATCTAAAATGAAATACAGTACAGTAAAAGTAATCAATAATGAAGAATGATTACAGTGTTACTGTGCACTTACCTTTAATGTAGTCAGCTGAATGCACACAGGGCCCCCATAATTTTATAATTATACATGGAGACTACGTTAACTGGATGAAGTAGTGGAGGAGATAGGGCTGGGTGGGTCATGAATGTCGCTTTCTTCAGACAGATTAACATACAGGGGAAACTTGCTTGTTGAAGGTATTGGATCATCTTTAGGGAGTGAAGTGGCAGCACTGGAGGGGCGTGAGGAGACAGCAATGGAGGACTTGTTAAAAAAAATGTCCAATTTAGATTGCACAATTGTTTCACTAAAAATTTTTGGGGGGTGCAGGTTCTTCTACATTTTGACTCACTTCTTCCTCTGCAATTTTCTGTGCACCTAGTTCAATAAGATCCTCGTAACTTAGCTCTTCTGCTACACTTTCAACCAACTGCTCAACATCTTCATTATCAATTTCTAACTCCAGCTGTTTACCCAACTCCACTATCTTGTTACTAATCTCAAAAGTTGCTTCACCTTCATTAAATCCTTTGAAACTGTTCACATATCTTTTCAGAACTTTCTTCCATATTCCATTCATGTACTGACCTGTAACCTCAATCCCATGCTGCAGCTATGTTCTTTATACATTGCAAAATGTTGTAGTCCTTCCAAAACTCTCTGAGCGTTTTCTCACCTTCAGTAGCAGCAGCAGCCTGAGCGAAGGTCGTACATAAATAATTCGCTTTAAAAGCTGCAATAGCACCTTGATCTATGGGTTGGGTGATAAGAGGTAGTGTTCGGTGGAATGTAGACTACCTTAACATCAGAGTGCAGGTCGTCCAGGTGTGGTGGGTGTCCCAGAGCATTATCCAAAATTAACAAAATCTTGAATGCAATCCCTTGTTGCAGATAATAGTCCTTGGCTCGTGGAATGAAACAAGTCAGGAACCAACCCTCAGACAGTACTAGGGTCATCCATGCTTTCTTGTTACTGTGATAAAACACTGGCAGTGTGTGGTTGCTGACATGTTTAAAAGCCCTTGGGTTCTCTGAATGATAGATCATGAAGGGCTTTATCTTGAAACCAGCTACATTCCCCCCAACAGAAGTGTGATTCGGTCCTTGAATGCCTTGAATCCCGGCATGGTTTTCACCGCTTTGTGGATGTATGTCCGTTCTGGCATGAGCTTCCATAATAAGCCAGTTTCAACCACATTAAATATTTGCTCAGGCAAATAATTTCCCTCCACGATGACACGATCTAGCTCCTCTTTAAAAGCTTTGGCAGCACCAACATCAGCACTTGCTGCCTCTCGACTCACCTTTACACTATACAAACTGTAGCGGTTCTTAAATCTGTTAAGCCACCCATGACTTGCTGTGAAGGTTTGGTCGCACTCATCTCCTGCCTGCTCCTTCAGGCTTTCGCAAAGGCTTCTTGCCTTAGCCTGTAGGGTTAGAAGGCTTAAGGGTACACGGTTTTGTATCTGATCTTCCATCTATATCACAAGTAATTTTTCCATCTCATGAATAGGACCTTGTCTTTTTTTGTTATTATTGTTCCCTTTATAGGTGCTGATCCTTTCACTACCTCACGAATATGTTCCTTGTCCTTCAAATTTGTCGATATGGTCGAGTGCAAGAAGCCTAGGTCGCGTGAAATGGTTGCAACCGTTTTTCCATTTTCATACTGCATTATCATCTTCATTTTCGTCTCAAAAGTAATTGACGGTCTCCTTTTCTTCTGAACACCACCAACACTCTCACTGCTATGCTTGTCAGTCATTCTAAAGTGAATTAGAAACGAAAATATTGTCAGTACACAGCGCGATCACTATCGACAACAACGACAGCCAAACACCAACTAAGCGCTCTATGGCATGGGTGCTGTAGCCACGAGGCGACGCAACCCAACCCATGCGATGCTCTCATACAGGACGGAAATGTTTCAGCCTAGAAAATACGCACGTCATTTGAAAAATTTTTGGTGCCGACTGCGGCGGTGGTATGTGCGGGTGGATGTACCAACTGAGGCAGGTCGTATGTGCAGGTGGTCGTAGGTCGAGTATGTCGTAAGTCTAGGAGTAGCTGTACATATAATTACTAATTTTCAAAAGGTAACACTTACCAGCAGTCAGCACTGCAGGTGAAGAATGAAGCATTGTAGTAGGCGAGAGACATAGTAGGTAATTCAGGGAAATGGTAGGCGATGCAGGGGAACGGTAGGTGAAGCAGGGGAATGGTAAGTGACGCAGGGGAATGGTAAGTGACACAGAGGAATGGTAGGTGACACAGGTGATGGAGGGGAAACGCTACATAAACAATAAACAGTGCAGCATTTATGTATAGTACTGTAATTTGGTCACTTATATCACTAAGGATATTATAGTCCACCCTAGTAAAACCGTTTTCTTTATTATAGAGCAAAGGAGTAAAACTAAAACACTCTAATGTAGCTTAGAAATAAAGAAAATATAAAAATATAATAAAAAACTATAAAATGGGAAAAATGAAGAGCACAGGTGTGTGTGTGTGTGTGAAGACCACTCAATGAGCTGTACTGCATGGCTGACTCACCCGCCTCCCTCCCTCCCTCCCATGTGACGTCACGGCACACACGCACACACACATCTCAGTCAGCTGGTTGACTGCCTCTGAACTGTGGCATCACTTAGATGATGGTTTCAGTGTGGAAGGAGCTTTTTTTTTTTACATAAAATGTGTGCTATTGTATTTTATGATATGCTATGTATCAATTTTATTGTTTATCACAGCAATTTTTTTTTTAAAAAGCAGTTATAGCGCTACAGGTGTCAAACACGTGAATAAATAACTTCAGTTGCTTTCGGGTTATTGTACTAAATTAGAATTTTTACCAAATGGGACAAAGTTGGGATACCCGAAAAATTCTGATAGTTGGAATTCAGATTAAATGAATTGCATTGTAAATTATATAAAATCTATGACATTGGATTTACTGTAATAGTGAAGACATTCTGCACACAGTGGCTGGCCTGACATGAATGAGGAAGGTTGTTGGGTGTTACTGGTTTAATAAGGCAGGAACCAAATTTTACCAGAGAATGCTAAATGTTAGTTTTGGTGCCCTAGATACTCTGTGGTGCAATACCCAAAATATTGGGGTGCTACAGCACCCTCCCTTCTTATGTTAATGCATTGGGTGGAGTGAGCCAGCACACACCAGACCACAACAATAACCTACACCAGACTGACCAAGAGTGAAGTGCAGTGCGACGAGTGTTACCCACGTGGTCAAATAAGCCAAAATTTTCCTAGGCAATTTCATATAACTCGGAATTTCCTGAGTTATTTTATAATAAATTCAGAGACAATATACGTGCCAAATTATATGAAATTCCGAGATATCAAATGCCGAGTCATCAGAAGTTTACTGTACTTTGTTAGCCTTGTTTTGAGCGAATATATATTATTGTCTTGGTTTAAGATTCCTACTTATCATTACACCTAAATCTTTCTCAGTCGGATTTATCTTTGTCAACGTTGTTCATCTGATATCTGGTTTCTCTGTTTACATCTGTTTACTTTATAACTGTCCACACTAAATTTCATCAGCAATTTTTCACACTATGTGAAAAATTTGTATTGGTCTTCCTGTAGTTTTGCCGAGTCCTCATCAGATTTAATTACAAGCCCTATTTTAGTGTCGTCAGCAAATTTATTTATGTTGCTGTCTACGCCTATATCTATGTCATTTATGTATATGATAAATAGTAATGGTCCAAGTACTGAGCTTTGGGATACTCCACTAGTGACGTTACCCCATTCGGTACCGTCACTCTCTGTTACCTGTCCTGTAACCACACCCTAATCCAATTTAGAATATCTCCTCCAATTCCATGTGCCTCCACTTTACGTATTAGTCTTTCGTGGGGGACCCTGTCGAAGACTTTGTTAAAGTTGAGGTAAACCACTTCATAATCATGTCCGTAATCCACCGAAAAGAATGATAATAGATTTGTCAGACATGAACACCCACTTGTGAAGCCATGAGTTTGAAGTTATTGCCTCCAGTAACTAATTGGATAGTAGTTAGAGGATAGTGATCTATCTCCCTTCTTGAAAATCATTATCACATTCGCTATCCTCCAGGATTCTGGTACTGCACCAATTTTTAGTGACACGTTAAACAAGTTTGTTAAGGGTAAACTAAGTTCTTCCTTACATTCCTTTAATACTCTGGCAGGACCTGGCAACTTATTAGGTTTTAGTTTATCTATTTGTTTACTAGCATCAGTACTAGTCACTAGTATCTCACTCAATCTATTTTCTTTACTGTACACCCACTAAAAAATTATTCGGCACCCTTGGCTCTGATACACCCCCCGCAACGATCAGAAGCCGTGATTACGTGGTGTGGTTGGTACCCCTGTCTCTATCTCTCTCTCTCTCTCTCTCTCTCTCTCTGTGTGTGTGAAAGTAATACTGTATGATGTTTTCTGTAGCCACGTGTAGTATTTAACGGATAATAAATGGGAATACATAAAGTGTTAGTACGAATGCCTCTAGACGGCATAGCATTACCCACTGTAATATAATAATCAAACCCACAATCTGTATTAATGTGTGCATGGCAACCAACGAATCAGGTGCCATTTATGGACTTCTTACATTATGAGATGCAACGACATAAACCCACATCATTACAAAGTGTAAATGATGGAAAGTATGTAAACATCCAGTAATATAAGACCACATGCGCAAAGAAAACAGTAGTAGTGATATAACATTAAGCACAATACTGACATGATTATGAAGCAGGGAATGAGTCATGAAACGAGGTATGATATTTCTTTAGTATGCCAAACATGATAAGATTAGTAGGTCCTCCATGATGGGGGGGTGGGGTGCTTGGTAGTGAAATTCATGTGAGACAAACAATGTTAGTGTTAGCATAGACTTTTATCAAAGGAGGTTCGTTATCTCAATACAATGTATCGAATATGTTGGTAACGGAACTGGTTCAACCTGCATTGAGTTGAGCTTAGGAGCGAACAGTAGGAATCGTAATGTTTAATTCGAATCACAGCTATGTTAGACGAGATGAAAACCTCAGAGAAGACACGCGCAGCAATCATCGCACTACACGGTGTGGGCCTCAGCAATGGTGAAATTGCTAGGCGGGATGGCATGTCCAAGCACACCGTAGCCCGATGGATACAGCGCTACGTCGAAACTGGGGACACCTTGCATAAGCGTGGAGCTACAGAGTAACTGGCAACTAAGCAGGCCAGGGATACCAACCTTGCACCGTACCTCATGAGTTTCTTTTTTAAATTCTCGTGTGGTGCGTCATATTGTTGTGAAAACAAATTAAAAATATCTGTTCAGATAATTGCTCATTTCTTTGTCGTTATCAGTTAGTTCGCCGGTATCTGACAGTACTGGTCCAAACTTGTCTCGTGTTTTAGTTTGATACATTTGGAAGAAGCCCTTAAGGACTGACTTTGTCTCCCTTGCTATCTTTAGTTCATTATTCCTCTTTGCCTTTCATATCTCAGTCTTAACCCTACTGGCCAATACTTTATAATAATCTTGAAGGGAAACATCACCACGATTGATTCTCCTACCTATAACCTTCCTTCGTCCAATAATATTCTTTAAATAATTATTTATCCATTTGGGGTCTTTGTTGTTTGATCTGAGTTTTCTGTATGGTATGTTCTGCTGAACAAGATTTCACTTAAAGAACACTTTTTCAGGATTGCATATAACTCATTAACCATTGATGTATTCAATATAAAAATACTCACTTCCAAAATGGCATTGATCCTTGGAGCCAATGATGCTAGTTTGCGTTCCTGTTCATTTATGGTTTCTGCCACAGCCTCTTTTTCCTGAGTAAGTTTGTCAAACAGCTGTGTCTGGTCACGCCTCTGCTCCAACTCCCACTGAAGACGAGCCAAACGCTGCTCATGTGGATCCTCCACAGTATCAGCCTTAAGGAAATGAACGTGGTTATAACTATTAATACCAGCATACTGGAATAAAAAAAAAAAGAGTTCAAAGGAACCATACATACCTGTGTCCCTAACGGGCAACAACTTATCATTTACCAAGAATAAACAAGGTTCATCCACTTCACTGTACACAATGACACTACTGTACATAAAAGCCAATAACATCCACGTGCAATCAATATACTATACTGTATATACTATATTCATTAAGACAAGTGAGTTCATCTTATAAGTATACCAAGCAAATAACTCATTATAACAACAATGTGAGCAAGGGATAAGAGAGATTATTTTAGCCCATGAGTGTTCTCCTGGGCACATGTTCTGGGACTACCTTTTTAAGTGGGAGTCCCACAATTGAGGTCCAATGGTGGGAGGGTTATAATTCAGATTTGGGAAATACGTTAAATGAAACAACAGCTTACACTGAACAGTCCAATCAAACATCAATGGCAAACCAATCTCTAGAAATGATCCTTAAGTTTTTAAACAGAAAAAATAAAAGCCTAATATATTGCCAAAAATAAATTGTTCATGTTAACATTTGGACACAAACTCTCTGAGATTTAGCCATTCACAACATATTCTTATACTAATCCTCCTCTTTCTCTTTCTAAAATGCTGGTTAACCTAACCTAATGCAGTACTGCACTAGCTACCTTTACTTTTCTTTGAAATCCTCTTAACACCCTTGGTATAAGACAAAAATAACATGGTAATTTTTCTTAATATATTTCCCAAAATTCATTTATTTGTTTTTCTCAACACTCCTATGTGTTTTATAAATTTTCCTTTCACATGCCTATAATTATTTAATTTATATTACAAATTATTTAAGGAAAACTCCATAGGCATCCATCTCCTCAGGGAGTTACAAAAAGAAGAAAATATCAGAAATAGAGGAAAATATACAGAGAAAAGGAAACAAACATCATAAATCAAATATTTAGAACATTTTAGTTAATTACATATAATGTATCTTCACAAATAATGTAAGAATAAGAAATAGAAGCCCAGTATCATTTCATTGAAGGAACTTTGTATTCAAGAGGATGCACCATAATATTTATGAAACCAGAAGTGAAAGATGCCAAGTTTATGATTCACTCAGTCTTTTCACACAATGCTGTACTAATAAAATGTTCAATAAAGTCTTACAGGTCGACTGATGTATTCTGGAGCCTCAACATAAAATTGTTCCACAGGCACAAGATCAATTTCCTGATCAGCAGACTGAAAATCAAGACAACGTCGAACTTCTTTCTTCAGATGCGCCACTTCATATAGAAGGTTCTGCAACTGCAAGGTCACTCCATCAACACTTTGCCGAGCTTCAGCTGTTTTCTCTCGGGAATCACGTACACGAACCTGTCAAAATTTAGTAATTTCTTTATTATGTACAGAAAGGAAAAACTAAAAATTCAGAGCTGGGTTTGTGAAACATATTTGCCCCCAATTCTGCAAATATTAATCATTACAAAAATCTCTCAAGGTGTACTGTTGGTGTTGTTGCCTTTACTTCCGGGCTCGAAAGATGGTGTAATGGGCAATTTCTGGAACTTCTGAGAGCATTTTTCCGTTACCCAGAAAATTCCAGGGAGGAGAGATTTTTTCCGACTGAGCCATCTTGTTACCCGGAAATCTCTCATTCCCAGAAGTGCTCTGCACCAATTGTTCTGGCTAATGGAGATACTATCACTATCTAAAATCACTTAATTTAAGAGAAAAGAAGAAATAGAATAACAAAATACAATAAATAAAAGTGAAAAATAAGTCATCATGTAAAGGTAGCACTGTAGGTAGTTATCAAACAGGAAAGTACTACACAGCCTGGGAAGATATTGGAAACATAATATGTTGTCTTATGTGCCTGGGTGGGTTAATCTCAGAAAAAAAAAATTTAATTATGGGACCCTGTTCGCATCGACAAATTTTCGCAAGTACGTATTCCAAGAAATGATGGTAAAATTCCGAATACATCGCCGATATTCATTTGTTTTCCTAGCTAGCAGATGAAATTCCACAAAATGACAATGCTGGCTGTAACTTGTTTGTAGCTGCTTGGGTTGGAATACCTTCATCTGCTCAGTTTAGTTACATGATGTGTTACATCACTATAGATTAGTAAAAGGTGCATGGTTGACAGTGTGAGAACATTATTGCTGGCAATTGTATACAGTAATTATATACTGTATCATATTCTAAACATTCATTGGAATTGAACTTCATTAATATGAGATGTGTGCATTTTTTTGCCACAGCAGTTTCAGGATAGATATATCAGTGGTATCCCCATTAGCCAGAACAATTGGTGCAGAGCACTTTCGGGGGATGAGAGATTTTCGGCTAACCAGACGACTTTCTCAAACCCGGAAAAATTCCTTATCCCCAGAATATTTTCCAATTACTGTACTGGGAAAAGTTTTCGAGTGTCTAAACTAGACATCTTACACACACAGACATTAGCCCACTTCCCCAGAATGTTTCTGGGTGCTGGGGATGTTTTCCTCGAGTCTAAACTACCGAAGCCCATAAATGCAGTTCTAATTAAGTTAGAAACTCCATTTCTTTACTATAATAATCCAGAATAGTTTATCTAAAAGCTTGGTAAAATAAATATATTTGAAAATTAAAAATCTATATGATATGGGCATGAATGAAACTGTATTACAGCAAAGACTGGTATTTTCCACTCCCATGGAGCTGTGAGGGATTACCAATAGTGGGTCTCGTGTACCTGACTTGACGCAGTGTCCAGTGGAGGTAGGGTGGGGGATTAGTGGTCTCATACCACTGACCTTCTGATGGAATGTTAGGTCACCTTTTCTTGGCCGGGGGATTAGTGGGTCTCATGACCTGAAGATGTCTTGAATAAACACGAAACCTAAAGTATTTTTAGAGAGATTGTGATATGTATAAGTATAAATGAGCAAAGTTGTATCCCTTCAACAATACATTACATAACATTTTAAAATATAGAGTGAGAAAGCAGAAAGGTGTGGGTGATTAGAGAGATGGAGTGGAAATGAGTGTTGTCAAGTGCTCCTTAAGAGCTATTAACTCGCTACCCTGCAGTCACACACACCCAGATGTGTCTTAATTCCCTTGCTGGGGGTGTGCGAGTGGTGTTAGGGTGTGTGTGAGTGGTTGTTGGAGGGTGTGTGTGTGTGGTTGTTGGAGGGTGTGTTTGTATGTGTGATGTGTAGGTGGTGTTGGTGCATTGACAAAAGTGAACCTTTTGGGGGGTGAGGGCGGGAGGGTCGCGCAGTCACTTTTCTCCCCCACTCTTCATCAACTTCTTCAAATCCTACAATGTGCTTGGTAAGCTCAAAACACACACACACACACATAGGAGTTAAGACAACAAGCATCCAGTGAGGGTCTTGTTGTGTGACTGCATGGAGGCGAATTAAATTCTCAATGAAACGTTTCCAATAAGATATCCTAAAACGAAATATTTCTATATGATATAGTGATGGGAATTCCATTCTTTTATAAAAAAATTTAAGAAATGTTGATACCGGAGTCAGTAAAATCAGTTCTAATTTCATTAGACACACCATATTTTTTTTTATCAAAATAATCGTAAATACTTTATCTAAAAGTTTGGTTAAACAAATATTAAAAAAAATAAAGCTATATGATAAGGGTGTGAATAGAGTTGTTACTTTTATCCTCTTCACCACTGATCGGCTCGTTAGTCGCTTGGGCGATCGGTCACGTCTCTGTTACACACTCCACTCAATTGACTGTAATACATAACCTATCATGTCTTAACACCTGCAATGAAAGTTGGGTGGGAGATTAGTGGGTCACGGTACTAACCTGATCCAGTGATGGGTGGGGATTAATGGGTCTTATGACCTGAATGTCTTGAATGACATTATTTTTTACCTATGAGGTATATACATAGTACTGTACTATACAGTCAGTCCTCGACTTACTACGGGGTTAGGGACCGACGACCAGGTCGTAAGTCAAAAATGCGAAAATAATACATATAAAATCTAAAATGGGTGTCTCTTTTTCTTCTCAGCACCACGAGAACTCTCACTTTTACGCTTGCCAGCCATTTTAAAGGGAATTACAAACAAAAAATTTTTCAGTACACAGTGCGATCACTAACGCCGAGACTAGAAAATACGTAATTTGAAAAATATTTTATACGACTGCGGCGGTCGTATGTCTGGGTTGTCGTAAGTCGAGGAGTGGCTGTACTGTATTGTATATGGAGGATACATGTATTAATAAGCACAGGTTATTACAGTAACATATCTTTACGAATTAATAAAAAACAAATAAACAATATTGTATCATGAAGAGTAAGTACAGAAGACAAACAGTGAGATGACCCTTGTGGGAAGGGGGTGGCACAGTCACTTTTACCCCCCCCCCCCCACAGAGGATAGATTAACGCTTATAAAATGTCACTGACTTGACTTACGAGAATAAAACTTGTATTGCTGGAATTCTTGTAAGATAGCAATTAATTTGATTAAAAACATCTCTTATTTTGCACCATACATAATAATTTTAGAAATTAACTTAGTTCATTTGAGTACAGGTTGTGATAATTTGTGGTTGCAGTTTCAAAGCTTCTAATGTATAATGAGTCTCCATGTGCCCTGGTTTATTCATTGATCAGTTGTCGAAGTGCAAAAGTAGCCCTGTCGAGCTATCATGTATCAATTACTTTTAAAATGGAAACTATAATGTAAAATGTTATAAGACAATGGTTTAGTGGTACTGTTAATGTGTGTGCTGTGTATGAGTCTTGGCATGTCACTTCACCACCTGACTCCTAAACAAACTCTTCATCAACTTCTTCGGAGAAATCTCATACCATGGCTTACAGACTTCCTCAGTGACCGACGCCAAGCTGTACGCTTCCGAGGGGCTGTCTCCACCTTTCAGTCACTCACCTGTGGCGTCCCCCAAGGCACCAAGATGGGACCACTCTGCTTCCTTATGCTCATCAATGATGCCCTAAGAGAAACCCCTGCTCGCTGGAAATATGTCGACGACTCCACCATTGGGATCAGCGTCAACAATTCTGCTCCCAACTATACCGCCCTTCAGGATTTATTGAACAGTCTCCAAAACTGGGCCACCAACAACCATGTCACCATCAACCATACCAAGACCATGGTTATGCACATCAACCTCTCCTCCGACATTGTCCCACCTCCTTCCATTACCCTAGGTCCGAACACACTCCAGGTTGTAGATTCCACGAAGCTCCTCGGCGTCACCATAGACAACAAACTAAATTGGAAACCACACGTCAGTGAAGTTGTCAAATCCTCCAGTTTCCGTCTCCACCTCCTCCGCCGACTCAAGTCCCTCGGAGTTCCCGCACACGAGCTCCTCAGTGTATACACAACATTCATACTTCCCAAGCTCACCTATGCCTCCCCCACCTGGTCTTCCTCCCTAAATGCCACACAACGTAAACACCTAGAAAAAGTGCAAAAGAGGGCATGCAAGATTATTCTCTCCCCTTCCTACACCACATATCAAGAAGCGCTCAACACACTGACCCTTTCGACTCTCACTGACCATCACCACGGCCTCATCTGCAAATTTGGTAAGAAGCTTCTACACCATCCCCGACACCGGCCCCTACTACCACCTGAGATCCCCTGTCCGAGAATTGCTGTTCGACACCACAACCGCATCCAGCCCATACGTGCACGAACTGATCGCTATAAGAACAGCCCAGTCCCTTACCATTGTAAAAATTATCAATAACATGTAATAAATCAGTGTATTCACTCCCAGTACAACACTGCTCCCTACACTGTCACTTATCAAGTTGAAATGAACGGTTTGATGTCTGATTACTATAATGAACTTGTATTCGTGTTGTTCAATACAGGTTGTACCTCTCTAGTCCGGCATTCTGTGGTCCGGAACGATTTTAGATTGCCCATGGAGAAAATTAATTTGAGTCTGATACTTTCGATGTTTGGCTAAATTTTACCTTATTTACCCTACTTTTTTGGTGAATTACTACCTGTAATAAAGCAACATCCTAATAAACCAACGAAAATAACAGATAAAATTAAATAAAAACTAAAAACAACACAGAAAAGTTCTTATGTTCTACAGCTTCAGCTAGAGTTGAACATACGTCATCCGAGTAAAAACACACACAACAACATTGGCTGTCCTTATGTTTTCAACTTTACCACCACTGGTGGGTAGAATTTTTTTTTTAAATTCAGAAACATTAATTAAAATATATATGAACAGTAAATAAGTGTTGCTTTCATATTCTTAGGTATAGTACAGGTTGACAATCCCTTATCCGAAATCCTTGGGACCAGATGCATTTCGGTTTTTGGAATTTTTCGGTTTTCAGAATGGTTAGGGGTTTTTTTTTTATAATACAGGGATCAGCCCACCCGGGCACAGGTCACTGACCCACATTGGGGCCTGGGGGCTAAAATATTATTATTATTATAATAATAATAATAATAATAATAATAATAATAATAATAATAATTCATAGGTCTAGGTCGTGTTTCTCACTTTTGATCTTTTTTTCATTCTTGTATTTCTTTATTATTATTATTATTATTTTATTATTACAGTACTATTGTTATTATTATCATTGTTATCATTCTTATTTTATTTTTGTGTATTTTTTATTAAAATTTTTATTTACTATGAATAGTTATTATTATTACTGTATTATCATTATTATTATAATTATTATTACTATTACATTTTCATCCCCCAGGCCCCGATGTGGGTCAGTGACCTGTGCCCGGGTGGGCTGTTACAAAAAATTCCTCCACAAAAAAACTTTCGGTTTTCAGAGCTTTTCGGTTTTTGGAATTTCGGATAAAGGGTTGTCAACCTGTAATGACGATATGTTTTCACATGTGCGCACTTACAAACGTGAGCTCACTTTTTCTTTACCATTAATGGTTAGCTACTTATATTGTATTGTTCCACTCATTAACATTAAATAACATTACTTAAAACAACAATACAGTGGTCCCTCAGTTAACGAGCACAATTCGTTCCAGAAGGTTACTCGTTAACCGAAACCAATGTTTCAATGGGTTCTTGGATAATTGGTTCCAGCTTTCCGAAAATTGCCTAAAATCAACAAAAAAGGTAGTAAAGTACACTTACTTTGAGGTGTGTATGTAGAAGGCTCCTGGATGATGATGATGGGAATTAGACTGGGGGTGGAGGAGAAGGGAGAAGAGAAGGCATTGGGGTGGAAGAGAAGTCACCCCATGGTGCCATTTCACCCATAAAATTTTAGTTCCCTTGGTGTAATTCAAGATTATTTTCTTTAAATCAACACTGCACTGCATTATATATTGTCAATATGTAAAATAAATTTCAAATTGGCCAATAATTTGTGTGGAAACACAGAAAAAAAGCGTTTAGTTGAAGAGTCTCAAGCAAGATGTTACCGCCACTGAAAAGACACAGAGACTGACGCCTGTATGGTGTGTTGACAGGCTGTTTGGCGAACATAAAACTAGTTTCCTGTACAGTACAATACTTCAATTTTGTTCAATAATTGTTAAAATGACTAAAAAATTGAATATTAAACTTTTAAAATTATTGAATAGTATAAACTTCTTGATATTTACTAAAATAGTAAGGAATTTAAGCCCTAGAACCGATTACCGTACAGGTAGTTCTGCTATAATGCGATAATTGTGTTCTTGTAAAATATCGTGTTATAGAAAATCGCGTAATAGAAATAACAGGGCTTATGGAGAAAATAGGGTTAGGTGCAGATTACTCCAAATCGAAAAAAAATTTCGTAGTTAGCCTAACACAAAGGATAGCACAGTCTAAATAAATGTTACATTCATATCTAATAATGAAATCATACAGTAAATGTTACACTTTACCTTGAAAAAATATGAATTTAACTTGATGGGGGAGAAGGTTAATGTTGAGGAGTCATGCAGACAGGATTTGACAATTGTCATCGTCATCATCAGTAACATCATCAGGTGCAGTTTTGGTTGCATGGGAGGGAAGAAAAAAACGTCTAATTCCAGAAGTGGATGGCTGTGGTTCAGTGTCTTCAGTCTGCTTCTTGGGGGTTGACTTAAAAAAGACGTCTAATGTTTGCTGTTTTGCCGTCTTTCTTCTTTCACAAAGAAGCTGTTCATAAGGTGCCAAAAAAGATTTAACACCACGAACTGCAATCCTGCTCCTTTCTGCATTGTAGTCATTGTCTTCCAAGCGCTGCAACTGCGTATCAACTTCCCTCAGGATAGAAGATAAAACAGAAGTGGGAAGCTCTCGTGGTTTTGCATCCTGGACTTCTTCATCTTCGGCATCTTCTATTTTCCCAGAATCAACAAGTTGTTGTAGATCTTCTGTAGAGAGGTCTTCACAGTGGGACTCGAGCAGTTCTTCAACATCAGCGCTTTCCACTTCAGCAAAGCTAACTTGCTTTGCAAGAGAAACACAATTTTCTGTAATTTTTGGGAGCTCCTCTGATGCATCAAAGCCTGTAAAATCATGAATTAAATTTGGGAGAAGCTTCCGCCAAACTCCACTCAAGCAGTCCTTACTTACTTCAACCCAGGCCTCCACAATGATGTCAATTGCATGCTTCATGTTGAATTTTTTCCAAAACTGAAGAACACTGGCCTTATCATTTCCTTCCTCAGTAGCTTCAATAAGTTTCTTAAATGTACGCCTCAAATAATAGGCTTTGAAGGCTGCTATTACTCCTTGGTCCATTGGTTGAAGGAGAGATGTTGTATTTGGAGGTAGAAAGAGCACTTTGATATTGTCAGAAAGCTCAGCAACAGTGGGAGGGTGGCTTGGTGCATTATCTAAAATGAGGAGAATCTTAAAATCTATATTCTTCTTCTTGCAATATTTTTTAAACACATTTTCAAAAACATCCACAAGAAGGTCAGAAAAAATTTGTCCCGTCATCCAACCTTTTTTGCTTGACCTAAAGTGAATACCTAGAGTAGACTTTATGTAACCCTTTAAAGCTCGCGGGTTGACAGAGTGATACACCAACACAGGCTTAAGCTTTAAGTCTCCACTAGCATTTGCACCCAACAACACTGTCACACGGTCCTTCGCAGCCTTAAAGCCTGGAGCATGTGCTTCATTCTTGGAAATGTAAGTTCTTGTTGGCATGCACTTCCAGTATAAACCTGTTTCATCCAAATTAAAAATTTGGTCTAAGGTGTAGCCTTCTTCCTGAATCAATTTCTTTACAGTGGGAGGAAATGCCCGGGCACTTGCTTCGTCGGCACTTGCGGCTTCACCACATAACTTTACATTATGAAAAGCATAGCGGTTCTTAAAACCAGAAAACCATCCACTACTAGCACTAAAGGCAACCACATCATCAGGATTTTCAGCTTTTTTCTTTAGGTCCTCATATATTGACAAGGCTTTCTCTTTAATGGTGAGGAAGCTGGTCCCAGATCGCTTTTTCGTTTGATCTTCTATCCAAACACTTAGAAGCCATTCCATCTCCTCAAGTTCCTTTGGCCGTGATCTTACACTTTTGCTAGCTCTCTTGGTTTTTCCAGCAACACAGCTTGCTTTAATCTTTGCTGCATTGGCTCTAATGGTGCGCAAAGTAGACTCCTTTATTCCCGTTGCACGCACAATATCACATGTTCTTTCCTTATTTTCAAAACGCTTGACAACATCAAGCTTGCCTTCAAGTGTTATAGCCTTTCTTTTACGATCACCACCAGAAATGCGATCACCAGAATGCTTCCCGGAGATATTCTTCTTTTCCATAGTCACAAAATTGGAGAAACAGTAAATCAGAAAGCACTGAGGACGCTTAAAAATTTCTCACGTCTTCCAAAGTGAACGTGTGGAGTAAAGAGAGCGCAGGTCTAAAACGCTACGTATTTTGTTTTTCTCTCTTAGTTAAAATTTTACATTTTACATATACTGTACAGGTATACTGTATACATAAATATTACATAAATTATTTCTGCAATTGTTCACAAACAAAACACATAAATCAATTGAACATGTGATGTCAAACGTGAACTGTAAACACTGCATAACCCCGCGCCAAGCCACAGCACTGTACATACTGTACAGTACACTTTAAACGCTACGTATTTAGTTTTTCTTTTATTTAAATTTTTACAATTTACATATATATATATATATACCTGTATAAGTAAATTGTAATTTACATATTATTCATATTATGCTAGAGCGCCCACAAAACATGAGAAACGTTTGAGTCCCCCAGTAGAGATGTCCGTTCTCTATCCACTTCAGGATGTCTTAGTCCTCCGTTTTCTTTTTGTGTACTCGCTCAGGGACTCAAGTATTTCTGTATATGACACAGGATGATAAGGGAATTTGAATTTATTTGTTTATTTATTTATATATATAATATACTGTAATATATTAAATATACTGCAAGTATTTTCTTTAATTTATATACGTGTTTCGCGACAAAGGGAGGCTACATTTATGGTGATCGTTAAGGACCAAACTCCGAATCCATGACGTGACTTCTGTTCATTATTTATATCCTAAATTTACCACTGTAGGTAGTTTCAAGAATTAATGCAGTCATTTACTGAATATTCTTTGCAAAAAAATAAATTTTAAATGAATTATTTATAGGAGATAAATATATTGATCAGTAAATATACAGATATGCATTACTGACCACCTCCGAACACAAGGACGGCTAAAAATAGCCACAGGCGGTCACAGTCAAGGTCACTTTCCCTTTCTCACACTGGGGGGTCGTGGGGGGGATGATAATAGCAGCTGTGTTTATTACGGTATGTTAGACTGGTTTATAATACATTTTTATTATTTTAATATACCGGTAATCTTCATTTTAATCCAGCTTCCCAAACGTAAGTTTCAGGCTAGTGGTACTGTAGGACCTTGTGAGTGGTTTACTGTATACATAAATATTACATAAATTATTTCTGCAATTCTTCACAAACAAAACACATAAATCAATTGAATATGTGATGTCGAATCAATTGAATATGTGATGTCGAACGAAAACTGTAAACACTGTGTATGATGTAAAGAGAGCGCGGGTGTAAAACGCTATGTAATTTGATTTTCTCTTTTATGTAAAATTTTACAATTTACTTATAATATATAGGTATACTGTATACATAAATATTACATACATTATTTCTGCAATTGTTCACAAACAAAACACATAACTCAATTGAACATGTGATGTCGAACGTGAACTGAAGTCACAACAACTGTTCGAGTGGAATCGCGTTAGAGCAAATGAGTTCGCGCTATACAAATATTGTTCCGAATTCATAAATCGCGTTCGATCAAATTCGCGTTATCAAAACACGCGTTATAGCAGAACTCACTGTACTGTATTGGCGGACTAATACTACAGCTGGTGGACCGCCAAATGCAAGCGAAAACATGTGGAGGGTTGCTCGTTAAAACTCGTTAATCGAAGGATTGCTCGTTAACCGAAGTTAAGAATCTTATGGAAGGTAAATCGTTAACCGAGGCGCTCGTTAACCGAGGGATCACTGTATTAATTTTTTACAGTAATTTTACAACAGCTACAACCAGGGTCTTATTTTCTTCAGTTTTATATGTAGATTCAGTCAGTCACTGGTTTTGTAATCAATGAAAACAATCCCATCTCACTTCCTCGTGTGTTTTAATATTCTACATATTATTAATGAATTGTATTGTTCATTTTGCACACATAAAAATTAATTAAATCAAAAAGACATTCAGTAATAAACAATAATGAATCTTTTGTACATAAAAGAAATGACGCTGTTTACACGATTTGTGCACGTCTGAACGTTGGCGAGCCGCTCAAACCCGTCGAAATTTGAGTTTCCGCCGTCAAAATTTTAAATTGAGTAGTGTTTTTTTTTGTGTCCAAATAAAAAATGTCGAATTAAAAACTCCCAAAATTTGAGAACCTACTGTACAACATTTAACCCTTCAAGATATCTTCAAAGAAACCATGAAGCAGTGAAAGTGGTGCTTGTGCTTCCAAGCATAAGCACAAGTCACTATCTATCCAGGAAAAGGGTGAATTTCCATTCTCAGGAAATTTCCATGGTCCACCGGTCAGGTCCCGAGGTTGCCAGACTAGAGAGGTACAACCTGCACCAGTAAATTTTAACTTAGCTAACCCCAAACAAAAAAGAAAAGAAAGAAATATCATGCTATCCTAGTCTTTATGAGCCACGTACCTGGTCAGGCTTGTCCTGCTTCAGTTTGAGGATTTCCTTCATCAGAGTTCGGATTTGATGGATAATGGTAGCAACAAGCTCTTGGTCTTCCTCCTCCATTCTCTGCTGAGCCTCAAAACATTCATGATCTAAACTTGCCTGAAAAATTTAATTTAAAGTTATTTTTCCTTGCTCCATAACCAGATTGATTTTTATGCAATATTTTTTTTTGTGAAAATAACAAAGAAAACTAAGATAATAGTACAGTTTATATACAGCTTCTTAAAAAATGAAACTTAAGATTTATATTACCAAATACACAATAAGAACATTGAGGTTCATTTTGGTGTCCACTAATAATGCCTCAAAACCGATATTCCTACTGCCTGAAGCATGTATAGATTACACGGAGAAAATAAGGCTGCAACATAAATTTATAGTAATATCCCCATTGGCCAGAATAATTAGTGCAGAGTGGTTCTGGGTTTGAGATGAATTTTTCCAGCTTTGAGAGAGTCGTTTCATTACATGGAAATCTGTCATTCCCGGAAGTGCTCTGCACCAATTGTTCCATCGAACAGGAGATATCACTTACAGATGTATCTACAGTATAGACAGTGATATCACCATTACCAGCAACAATTGGTGCAGAGCACTTCCGGGAATGACAGATTTCCGGGTAACGAGACAACTCTCTCAAAGCCGGGAAAAAATCCATCATCCTTGGAATTTTCAGGGTAATGGAAAAATTTTCTCAGAAATTCCAGAAATTGTCCATTACATCATCTCTCGAACCCGGAAAAATATCCCCCATCCCCGGAATTTTCCGGGTATAGTATAGGAATAATTTTCTAAGAATTTTCTGGAAAAACCCGGCTTTGAGAATGATTTTCCGAGAAAATTTAAATTCCGGCTATCAGAATTCTGGGTTTGAGGGATTCTGACTAACAGAGATATATATATATATATATATATATATATATATATATATATATATATATATATATATATATATATATATATATATATATATATATATATATATATATATATATATATATATATATATATATATATATATATATATATATATATACAGTGGGGTATGCTATAACGAACGTAATTGGTTCCAGAATCTCGTTCGTTATAGCATTCGTTCGTTATGGGATTAATCCGTTCCAGGCCCCCAAATACAACCGCTTAACACTGAAAAAATTCTGTGGAAAATGTAAAAAATACGGTACTTTATCTTACCTTAGTGTTATTCAGCATGCAGGTACCCCTAAACACTGGCACATCACTATCACTTCCACTGGGAGTCTTGGCTTTAAGGTCCTCAAACAATTGTTTAGCCTTCTCACAAATTAAAGCTTCACTAATGTTACCACCTGCCATTTCTTTCTCCTTTATCCACACTAAGAGTAAATTTTCCATCTCTTCAATCACATTACACCTTGCTTTGCTAAGTCTAAAGATTCCCTTAGCCACTTGCACAGTTTTTAACTCCTCTTTATTCTTCAAAATCGTACATATAGTCGATTTAGCCATCCCATATTCATCACTAAGTTTCGCAATGCTTCTTCCATTCTCACGTTTCTTTATAATTTCTTTCTTAGTTTCAAGGGTTATTAGCTTTCTCACTCGCTTTGGACGACTCATTGTTACAATTGTATACTTGTATAGCAAAATAGTTATACAAATAACGCGAATTTCCACATCAAAAGACGAAATTTCAACAATAAGTGGTGCACTGGCTACACAATGAGACAAAGATGGCGCCTGATGCTCTTGTTGTGGGTCGCGGTACAACAATATTCATGCGCCAGGCGAAATAGTCCGGTATTCATCCGCGTTCGTTGTAGGAGTTGCGTTCGTTATAGCATTCTCAATTTTATAGGTAAAACCGTTCGTTATAGGAATATTCGTAGTAGGATCCGTTCGTTATAGCATACCCCACTGTGTATATATATATATATATATATATATATATATATATATATATATATATATATATATATATATATATATATATATATAAAATATATATATATATATAAATATATATATATATATATATATATATATATATATATATATATAAAATATATATATATATATAAATATATATAAAATATATATATATATATATATATATATACTTCATTTTTAGTCCATATAACACGCAGACTTTGAACATATAATCAACGACCTCACCAGCAAGGAATCGAACCCTCGACCTACTGGGTGGGACTAGGGAACGCTTACCGGCTAGCCCACAAGGACACTAAAAGCAGTTCTAGACTCTGTTATATTTCACACAAAGCCTGTTCATCGAGCTGATGGCGCCGTGAACCTCATTGGGAAACTGCCCGTGCCTCGTATGTGGTGTCAGT